ATCAAAGGCCCTCCTCCGAGTATTTGTTTTTACCACCCACAAATTTCGAAACAAGGCAAACAAATACCGCCCACCGTGTCGTTATAACGACCAGGGAAACGAGAAGGGCTGTTTGCTCGAAGTTGTGAACGACAGCGGCTGGAATTTTGCACGCCTTTTTCTCATCGAAAAGAATTCGGGCTTAAGGTTTCTTGTAGTTTCTTGTCTTTTGATGTTTTCTGTCGGTTTTTCACGAACAAAAGCGCCTTTACCAAGTTACAACTTTATGTAGCAAATGGAACTCCTATTCAAAACTTTTGGTGAACGCCTGATATCTGTTGATTTAGAATTGCACCGCAACTTCCAATGGCCATTCATGATTGCTACTGTTTCAAGTCCTATTATTGGCGCAGATTTTTTTTTCAAAAATTTTCTTTTCTTGCCGATCTTAGAATCGCCGTTTGATAGATTCCACAACCAACTTAACTTATCCGGGAGTATTCGCAATAGTCAGATTTGAGCATTTATTAAACTGATTTCCGGTAACTACCCACGACATCAACTTCTCAGAGAATTCCCTACAAACACGCGCCCAGTTATGGGTATTTCCGAACCCAAGCAGAATGTATTACATTATATTGAAACTACCGGACCTCCGATTGACGCTAAACCAAGACGCTTACCTCTGGACAAGCTTAAAGCCGCCAAAGAGGAATTTCAATACGTGATGGAACAGGGAATTTGCCGTCCTTCAAAAAGTTCCTGCGTAAATCCGCTCCATCTAGTTCGAAAACGAAATGGTAAGTGGCGATTATCGCTGGTTAAATGCAGCTACAGCTACAATTCCTGGTCGTTACCCAGTCCCTCACATTCAAGACTGTATGCAAGTTTTCGAGAGTGAAAAGCTATTTTTACAACCATTGATCTTGAGCAGGACGTATCACCACCAGTGCCCGTTAAGCCAACTGATATTCCAAAAACTGCGGTTATTACGCCTTTTGGACTATTTGAGTTTCCGGTCATGACTTTCGGCTTATTGCAATGCTGCTCAAACGTTCCAACGCTTCATGAACCAGGTGAGGTGTTAAACGGCCTCGACTTTTGTTGTACCTTATTTTGATGACGTCTTAATCGCCTCCTTCTTCAGAGCAAGAACACCTTTCACATTTGAGAACAGTTTTTGAACGTTTTCAAAGAAACGGTGTCAGTCTTAATTATTCCAAATGCGTTTTTGGCCAACCAAGAGTATCCTTTCTTGGTCATGAAATTTCCTCTGATGGCGTTCGACCCCTTCCAGATAGAGTCACCACTATCCGCCGATATGCCCGAACCATCTACAGTGAAGGACTAACGACTTAAGAAGATTTCTTGCTATGCTCAATTTTTATCGACGTTTCTTACCTCATGCATCAACCATACAAGCACCTCTCTAAATTCTTTTTTGGTTGGAATCAAGAAAAACGATAAACGTGTTATAACCTGGACCACAGAATCTCGCGAAGCGTTCCAAAAATGCAAAAATGATTTAATTTCGGCAACAAATTTGCAGTATCCTTCCGCATCTAAACCGTTATCACTCTACGTTTATAAGGTATTTCTCCCGCTTTCCTAGCGTGCTTCGTGGTGTGTAGTGGTTTTGCACGCTGGCCGGGTACTCCAGAGGTCCGCGGTTCGATTCCGGCGAAGGCGATTGCTATTTTTTCAATCTCTCTTGCTTTCCAAATATCCTAAATGTCTCTACAGTGGCGCCCGAAATAAAAGGGGGTTTGAATGAGGATTCTCCACACCCAGGATTTGGCGATTGCGTCCCCTAAAAACCCCAGTCGCCCTTTAAAAAGGGGAGTATATAAGGTATTTCTTCCGCTTTCCTAGCGTGCCTTCGTGGTGTAGTGGTTCTGCACTCTGGGCCAGTACTCCAGAGGTCCGCGTTTCGATTCCCGGCGAAGGCGTTGCATATTTTTCATCTCTTCTGCTTCCAAAAAATAACTTAATATCTCTACACGTTGACGCATCAACGACAGGTATAGGAGCAGTTTTAAAACAGAAAGGTCAAGAATTATGGAAACCCCTTTCATATTTTTCTAAAAAACTCTTACTAGTACAAACCAGATACAGCACTTACGATCGCGAATTATTAGGAAATTATGAAGCTGTGAAATATTATATGCTATAGGCATATGCTATAGGGACGCGTTTTCATGATCTTCACAGATCACGAACCCTTATACTTTTCAGCAGCCTCTTTTCAACAGCGAAGAAAGCTTCTCCTCGTCAAATGAGACACCTAGACTTCATAGGGCAATTTTCAACAGATATCTGTTATATTGCGGGTTCGCAGAATATTGTAGCAGACATCTTGTCTCGTATTGAAGAACTAGCCGTTCCTTCGCCAATAAACTTTGCTGCCCTTGCGGATGAACAACACCGGAATTCAGAACTACAAACCCTCTTGAAAAGAAAATCTTCCACTAATCTCAACTTGCAGCCTATGCAGCTGTCACCTGGAAAATCACTTTATTGTGATGTTCAGGATTCAAGATTTCGACTTCCCTCCGGGTCGACTGTTCCTCCGGGTTTCGCCATGCCATTTTTAGTCAGTTACATCGTCTGTCACATCCTGGCATCAAGGCTTCAAGGAAACTTATATAGAAACGTTTCGTATGGCCTAGCATGCAAAAGAACATAGCCAACTGGATACGTTCATGCTTGGAGTGCCAAAGATCTAAAATTGTCAGACACACTACCAACCAACTTAAAAAATTTTAATTTGTCCTCATCTCGCTTCAATCACGTGCACCTCGACTTGGTCGGGCTCTTATATTTATTAATAATAATATAATACATGAATAAAATTAATTATTGTGTATACATTTTTCTTACCTTGGATGAAGCAAATTTATCATTTACTTCATCAAAGTCGATCCTTCCAAATTTTTCTCTTTCCACACTTAAAAATGCTAGATGACTTAGGAGATCTTGTCCCACCTTTGATTGTAAATATGTGAAAATTTATTTTAATTTGCTGAACGAACGTTCATAGTAAGTAGTATTTAAAGTGCGACTCTTAGGTTTGGAAAAACATATTCTCTATAGATATGTAGTGGAGTTTTAGGTTCTGTTTCTTTTCTACTGCGGAGTAACGTCATGCAGTCACAATCACTGCTCAAAACAATTAGGGGATATTGTGGGTTCGGTATGAAATAACCATATAATCGATAACATTTTTGAAACAAAGAAAATAGAAGAGATTTATAAAGGAAAATTATAACGTTTACAAAGTTGGGAATATGCAAATTTAGTCTGTGACGTCGAAAACTATGTGTTTTAGATAAGGAGTAAGGAACGACCTGCAGTATTCCTTTTGTAATAGAAGATTAAAAACAATTCACATGCGTTAAATTTAAATGCTTCGTAGAAGGTTAATATACAACGTCTCAGGAAGATGGCTTAGTTGAATTGGTAGCCAGGAAGGCCATCAGCCGTTTATAGGAGAGTCAAACGCAATCCATTGTAGCGGAAGCGTTACGAATCTCAAAAAATGTCATTTCCAGATTATGGAATTGGATTTTGGAAACTGGATATATTTGAGAAATTCGGGACAAGGTCGTGTTATCGTTTTAAAATAAAAAGCGGGAGATATACGTGCATTTCGTTTAAATATATATCTCTACTTTGGAGAAATAAAGTGATCAGAAAAGAACGTTTTGGTTGATGTACTGCAAAACATTTTATTACACATTTTATCAGACAAATCAAGAAAAATAATTAATTATATTACAATAGTTATTAATTTTAAATATATTTTCCAGAAATCGATCAAAATAAAAATAGAAATTTTCCGGAAAATCTTGTTTGGAGACCATTTGGCGCCCCTGTACGAGCGGCGCCCGGGGCATCATGCACCCCCTTGCCCCCTCTCGCTACGCCACTGGTTGCCTATTTTGATCATATTTACTTTATATGCTCATTCTTTCTGTTTCGTGTTATTCCTTCTTCAAGCGCTCCTTATACACGTATGTTTTTATAAAAAACTTGGATGTGTCTTTTGAACATTTGAAGTCGTACCATGCTAGTGAACTATTACAGTAGTGAACTATTTCTGAAATTTAGTATTTTACAAATTTTCAGTCGCTTTCTACAAATACTGTCCCCCCGTTCCTGAGTATTGCTGTGATTACAACATTCAGGTCCCGTGACAAGGAGCACAGTTTGCGCTATATCTGTATTTACAAAGTGGCAAGTAGTTCGTTACAATCATAAATATCCAATAGCAACACAAAAACGGAAATGACGTTCACACGCTGAAGGGTTCTAGAAGGGAATGCTTTTTTATTGAGCTAAAAAAAATTCTAAGCGTATACATATATATATATATATATTTATTAAGTAAATTTTACTAAGTAGTAAAATTAATATAGTTAAAATATTAAAATAAAATATTTATAAAATTCTTCATTCAATATTTATTAAATAAGATACAACTTTGTTCACAAGGTGGCGAGCAATGCAATCTTAAATATCGAATGGCAACGCAAAAGCGGAAATGACGTTCTTTACGCAATGAGAGATTCAAGAAGCCAATGCTATTTTTACTGAGCTAAAGAAAAACTTCTTCGCATATATTTATTAAATAAAATTTACGGAGTTAGACATAACTTCTTAGTTGAAAAAAGGAAATATTTTACATAATAGTGTAGAGAAAATTGTGCGCTCTTCCTTTCGTATGCGACTGCTCCGAAAATACTGCATTCCTTTCTCTTAATACCCAACTGTTATTGGTTCAAGTATAGCCACCGGCAGTAAAGCCTGATTGGTTGAAAAAACATGGTCGAAAAAAAAAAAAAAACAAAAAAAAAAAAAAAAGAAAAAAAAAAAAAAAAAAAAAAAAAAACAAAAAAAAAAAAAAAAAAAAAAAAAAAAAAAAAAAAAAAAAAAAAAAAAAAAAAAAAAAAAAAAAAAAAAAAAAAAAAAAAAACAACAAAAAAAAAAAAAAAAAAAAAAAAAAAAAAAAAAAAAAAAAAAAAAAAAAAAAAAAAAAAAAAAAAAAAAAAAAAGTCAGATGGCTGTTTGATGACGTCACTGAACGTGTAATTCCTATGTTAATGAGGTATTCAAGATGGAGTCTTTTAGCATAGCGTAGCTGATGTCGAGGAGAAACGATCTAAGACAGTTTCGGATTATTTGTATGAAATATGCCGAAAAGACGGAATGGAGAAATTCCTCTGCCGGACGGGTGGGATGTGGGAAGAGATTTCGATGGAAAAATATATTTTATCGATCATATTAATAAAAAAACTACTTGGATTGATCCTCGCGACAGGTAAGTCTGTGATAAGCCTACGGCTGGAATGTGCGCCCTAGTGGGCCTCTGACTTAAAATGCTTAAAGACAGTGAACCGACCTTGGCTAAAGATTAGTAGTTTATAGACTTCAATATATTCTCTATTTACAACTTCGCTAAATTGAATGAACATTGTATTTGTTCTAGACTCCAGTGTTTTAGCACTAATATGATATCGCCGCGTACCTGATGATCATTTCGCTGAGGGGAAAGTGAGAGAGGGTGATGTTACTATAGCAAGATATAAGTAAAATTTATTTGTTGAATGTTATACGAAAGTGTGCAGTTCATCTCATCTGATACCACCTTGCACGAGCTTTTAAATTGAGAAGTGGACCTGTTCAAACCGTACGCCTCATGGCAGTTTAAATTTTCACGTGTATTAGTTGCATTCGATTTTCATTTGCATTTGACTTCGAGATAGTTGTGTTGGTGAATTAAATGTAGCCGAATATTACTTGAGTATCATTCAAATGTGTACGACCATGCAAGAAATTACTTCGATTTCGTAAACTGCTAGTTTGTTAAATCTGTTTTCTGACAGGTTATGATCGACTGATACTAAAGCATAAAAGTGCATCATGTGTGTTTGCTTTGAATATGAACCGTAATTCGTGGTCATAGTAATTTGTGGGTGGCCGAATCATTTCAATTAACATTAAAAGCAGTGTATTTAACTGAAAAGAAAATCCTTGTAAATGAATGCTGTAGGAAAATTTATGATTGTTTATTTAACTTGCCCTTTAATTTCTGCTAATGTAGCAGTAAGTGTTTTTAATTTTAAATTTTTTTTGTCTTTTTTGTTTCTTTGAATAGTTATGTGGAAATTGTGTTTATTTTTTAATCTGTTTTAACAAAGCAGAATAATTTTGCTTTCTTTATGTATGTTGCGTGATATGAAAGTGTGCTTCAATTGATGAATCAAATTTAGAAAATCCTCGGCATTTAGTAATGTTGAGAAGTTAGGATCTGAATATGCCCACTCTGAAACTGTGAAGTAGAAAAGCTTAGTGTGTGTTGATTCTCATAAAAACAGTCATATGTTGGATATGGAAGTTTGCTTTCTTTGTTGAATATTATTTTGAAGTATTTTTGCATTTCATTTTCATGTTGAGAGAGAAAGTGAATTTTGAATATGCCCACTAGTAAAATGTGAAATTTTATGTGGCTCTGAAAAAAAGTTGTGGATATAGAAATGATTATCTGTGAAATAATTTGTATTGAGTGCAAAAGTATATGTAGTAGGAGATGCAGTATTTTTCTGTTAACAGAATTCAAGTCTTAGCTGCAAAATTATGATGCATTTCTTTTGTACATATTATTCTGAAGTGGTATTCTAGATATTTTATTTTGGATGTGGTTGCTATTTGCTGTGTATATATCTACTTGTAAAATGATTCATTTTTGCTTGAAAAAAATTTTTTTGAATCTTCCAGGAAATATTTTGTTTTGGCATTTGACATAATATAGGAAATCAAAGTGTTTCATAGCAATAAATCTGTAGTTAGCATTTGTATATATAAGCAATTTGGGCATTTATAAGTTTACTTTTGCTAGTGGCCAAGTGAGGAAGACTGCTGGTTTGTGCTCGGTAAGAGAGGGAGTTTCATGTTATTACAACTAGTAGCCTTGTGTTGAGTTCTTTACAGTTAACCCGCGAGCACACGCACCGATCCAACGAACACGAGAACACGCGCCGGGTATGTCATACCCGAATAAAAAGTTTATAATTAAAAATTTGCAGAATAAAATTAATTGGTTTTTAAATGAAATTAAAATGTAAAACCAAGTTAATACTTCATTTTAGACAAAATAGGAAAGAATAAGGAGAGGTAAAATTATTTACTTACAATTTTTTTGAACATTGTTTACAAAATGGAGGTCCATATGTTCCTATACCTATACTTTTGCTATGATTTTCACAAATGAATCTAGGTCTTTCTATCTGTTTTTCTTGGGGCACTCTGTACACCTCTTGTAAGTCATTTTAGTTTTTTTAGTTTTTTTTTGGGGGGGGACCCGTTGTTAACATGTTCATCGGTGGTCAGTGTTTGCCTAGAATCAGGAACTACAGATGCTTGTCGTCGTTCATTTTGAACACTTTCTATTTATTAGCTGCATCCCTAAGGCTTTTAGAAAAGTACGCCTGGTACGGTATTTCCATTGGTGGCTCCTTCTTTGATAGTAGAATTATTCTTGCATTAATGGCAGCCATGTTTAACACTGAAAAGAAAATCACCATAGGCCATCGACGTGCTACTCTTACTGTAGAATACGCAGCTGCCATCTCATCTACAACATCGACTGCTCCTTTTGTCATGTTATAGAATGTAATAATTTCAGGCTTTTTAGATTCCCCAGTAGATTCATCGATTTGATCGCCGGAATGCATTGTGGATAACAGGATCACATTCTTATTTTTTTTTCGGCACATAAGATACAAGTGTTGCTTCTTTCTGAAAACCGAAAATTGAAGAATATACTTCTCTTTTCTTTGCCAGAAACTCAGGTGGGATTTCTCTCTTATGCATTGTATCTACTATCGTAATTTTCTTCTTTAGGAGATCTTGAGATAATTCATATCCCATATACCAATGATCAACTGTTAAATTTAGACCAGAGTTGTATAAGGGCCTTATTAAACGTTTGACAACTTCGCTTGCACCATTTTCAACTTGAAATGGCCCATCTGGTTGTTTACCAGCATAAATTTCCATACTGCAGGTATAAAATACCCTTGCGTCTACAAGAGCAAATATTTTTATGCCATACTTTGCTGGGCTTGTTGGGCATGCATATATTGTTTGAAGGAACAACGACCTTCTGATTGATTCCAACTTCTCATCAATGGTCACATACTCTCCTACAAGTATAAGCCTTTTGGCAATTTGTGACAAAATTTCCAACAAATTCTCTTGATCGGCAGCTAATTTATTAGTCAATGTCTCTTCTACTGGGACGATCTGTAATGTCATCAAAATGGAGGCATCGTAAAAGAAAGAGGGAATCGGTTCACTCGACATTGTTTCCCGAAATATGTCCATTCCCGTTCCGTCCTGTTGCCCACAAATCTCTTACGTTCACATGGGATGATTTATAAACTCCACATAAATACAGCAATCCAATTAAAGCTTTGATTTCCAACTCATTTGTTGCTTTCGCATCCCGTTCACGAGTGAAATTCTCCACGTACTGAATGAATATAAATATTTGTTATTGTCAACTACATGTTTTAACATACTATCTTCATCGATAAACAAGTGACCAGGAATCTAAAGGTGTTGAGACGTCTTTAGAATACTTTCGTATTTCCAGGGAGTTTAGTTATAATATTTTTGGCGCCAATTCTAACATTAGTTCGGAATTTATTTGTTTGTTCCATTTTACTCCATTTTTTCCCAACATAAAACTCATTGCTACATTCCAGAGTTTCATTTTCTGTTTCTGTATCTGAATCACTACTCTCTATAGATGATCATTAGGATTACTATTATATTCTTTGTCCATCAACATCTTCATCTTCTTCACTAAATGAATCCCCTCATAGAAGAACAGAAGAAAGTGTTTCAAGGAAGATTTCTCAAATCTTTTCATCTCTTCATCGTAACGGAATATACAGGCGCCATGCTTACTAGCTCAAGAAAAACCTATACTAAAAGCTTGAAAACGCGAATACACGAGAACTGCGAAGTGACTCGAAGTGACTCATTGAGAAACGCGAGTACACGCGCGGGTATGACATGTCCGAACAATGCTGTTCCTAAAAGACCGCTGTACCTGTCACCTCAGGAATTTCCCCCATTTAAATATGTGACCTTGAACTCAGCTACACCAAGTTTCGTCCTTTTATGAAAGAATGGGTGAGAAATATACAAAAAGAAAAATGCACATGTGTATGACATACCCGTTGCGTGTGCTCGCAGGTTAATTGATTAGCTGATGCTTTGTCACTAATAATGATTAGTTATGACAGTGTGGCTGACTGAATGATCAGGTGATGTGTCCGAGCATAGAAGAGGAAAAATATCAGGTTGAAGAAGTTGTAGGGGAAAGCAATTATAGAGTTTCTGAAGTAGACATCACGTTGATCGTAAAAAGTGTAGGAAGTGGAAAAAGTCATCGATGAAATGTTTCAGGGCTACACCAGTGGTGATGCTCAAATTAGGCTAAAAAGTCCAAGTAAGATGAGGAGTAGACTAACTAGGAGGAAGTAAAAATTAAGGAGTGCAAAAATATCCAGCAGTCTGAACCAAAGCAGGAGATAGTACTAAAAATTAAACAGTTAAATATAAACATTTAAATACAGAAAATTACGTATTTTTTTAAATATAAATGTATGGTACTATTCGGTTTCGAGGCCCGTAAAAAATCGCCAAACTATTGTTGATGCCAGTGCTGCTAAAAGTAATTACGGCAACCCTAACACAAGAAAGGAAGTATAATACTAAATAACTATCTAAATATTGATGTTTAAATTTAGATGAAAGGTTAATTTCATATAATATTTCGTTACCGAGTTATCGCTAAAGCATAATGTCATCTCGTTGGTTTTTCAAACATTAATTTTCTATAATGAATGATGCCTTTTCTTTGAAAACATTCTTGGTAAAGTGCAGAATCGCCCGCTTATTTGTTTGTTGCTTTTTAAAAGGGTTAAAAACAATTGGAATTTTGTCAAGTTTCTTTTACTTTTCAAGTGACAATAGGTTGATGTGTACATAGGTAAAGTCAAGGGTGTGCGCAGTGCCATTTTTGTGCAATTCTGGGATTTTTTTTTAAAGTGAAAATAGGTTGAGTGTGTACATGGATAACCGAGTATGTGCAATTCTTAAAAACGCATCAAGCAGTGGGTGATTCTGCACTTTACCCAAAATTCTATCGCAGACTTTTCATCATGGGCAATTCCCAAATTGTTAAATCCCATAAGATATCAGAAAAGGAAATAATTAAAAATTAAACTAGTATTTCAATGGCGTCTT